TACATGTTAAGAAACATCAAATAACAGTAACAGCCCAACAAACCCTACAGTGTTCTGTACCTACATTTCTCAAGGTGCTACATTCACATAATGTTTGTCTGAAACACCTCATGTACCAACAAACTATACCCGTAATTAATAACACTTAGTAGAGGGGGCTGTACAGGGCTTACCATGCCATTTGGGTGACTAGACAAATGTTGCAGCAGCATCTTCTTTAGGAAAAGAACATTGTCAGTTATTCTATTGCTATACCAGACTGTAATGATAAATGATGATTTAATTTAGCACTTGGCTACAGGTTGACTTCAAGGAGTAGAACTGCCATTGTCTTGTAGCAGTTGATTGTCTCATGGCTGACTTTGTCTGAATTGCAAAGCCTAATTAAGGTGTAAAATGTGTGTATGCACCATTCTTATGTAGCACCCTCCTAGATAGGAGTGAGCAGCGGCGGACTGACCATTTGGAAACTCGAGCAGTGCCCGAGGGCCCGGGGTCAGAAGGGGGCCCCAAGAGATGCCCCTGGTACCTTTTTCATAGGCTTTTTTGAGTTTGGGCAAGGACACAGGGGCCCCATGATCCCCTATTGCCTGGGGGCCCCATGACTTGTCAGTCCGCCCCTGGGAGTGAGTGCTACAATTACATGGAAAAGAATCTTACAGTAGGGAGAAGAGAGCCCTTCCCTGCACAAATAAACACGGCAATGTACATATGTACTGTATATATATTGAAGATATTGAAACACATACTGTTCATTCTGGGACAGGCTAGTGACAAGACCACTTTATACATGAAAAGAACTCTTTGCTATGTTAGTTTTTTGCAAGATCACCTTGGCAATCAGGGGCCAACTTGTTACATTTCAAAGGAGGTAATCTGAAAACTTGCAAGGGTGATAAAATGCAGAGTGCTCAGTCAGAATTAAGTATGGTAAATAGCATTCTTGTTTATCTAATTAATGGTAAAAGAATGCAGTTTAGGACTTTTGTTAGAATTTATGACTGCATCTGTCCAAGCCCAAAATGCATTACCTGTCACCCAGAAGATCAAAGGGGCTACTACAAGTGGCCAGAGTGCTTGTCATTCTACTGAATTGGGAGAATGTGTATACGAGGAGCTTCTTCCTTTCATTAATATGGAAGCACAGGTATATTATTATTATTATTATTATACAGTATGTATAAAGCGCCAATAGTTCGCTCAGCGCTGTACATTACAAAGGGGGACAGAACATGTGACAGAACAATACCAATACAATGCAAAACATGAGGGGATCGAGGGCCCTGCTCTTTCGAGCTTACAATCTAGGAGGGGTATAGATCATAACTCTCATTATTGCACACATGGAAGCTACCTAGGTGCATATTATAGATTGAACATATGCTGGACGGTGTAGTATCTCCATGTTTTATGGTTGAACTGGATGGACTTTTGTCTTTTTTCAGCCAGACTATCTATGTGACTATGTTTGATATGAAGTAGCTTAAATGGGACTCTGAGGGCTGTTGTTCATTGTAATATTTACAAGTATTCAGCTGGATTTCTGTCGTCTGTAACAAATATCTTTATCCGAATCTGGAAAAGAACTGGTGGACTAGTTGATGTGGGAAAAGTACATTTATAAAAATATAACATCATCATTCCTCCTCCTTATTAAAATACAAGAGATTTGTCTTATGAACTGTTTCTGTGTGGACATATATTAATATAAGACAACACCATGGAGTTGTGTTATGCTGTCATTGTAGAAATAGAAGGTTGATTTAATTCTCCTTTAAGTCTCTTTAACATGCAAAAAAAAGCTCTGTAACAGTTCCACCTTTAACATGGATTCTGGTATTTAAATCATGAGGTTATGCGTAAGTACAGAATACAAGATTCAGAAGAAAAATGTTTTCAGGAGCCCATGTTGCTACATAGTACATTCTCAGAAATATATTAAAAAGCATCCCCACACAGACAGCTAAATAAATAGCAATAATAACTTAGCTCTAAACAACAGCTTTTTATGTACTGTTTGTCCATAGGTCCAGCACAATGAACACAAGAGGACACAAAGCTATTAAAGTGAAACATGCGCCTTTGAAGGCCATCCTTCCTGAGCTCTGACAAAGCCTTTCTGGATGAAAAAAGTGAGCATTTTTCTCTCCCTCGAAAATGCTGGAGAGGAATGATCTGCTCTCTGTGGGGGTCGGTTCCTGCGCTTTCTGAAGATGGTGCTAAAAACATGATTCTCCCTCCAATGATTTTCCTACCGCAGCTCAAAAAACAGCACAATTATTTGACATTTTGGTTGGTTTAACATTTTTATTGCCTGTATGTAGAAGCGAGGAACACACAGATTAAACACACTTACTGTTCCACTTGTCATGAATATATCACGCATATATAAGCAGCTATCTCGTTTATTGGCAAGTGCTAATTAAGAGCTTAGAGCCCAGGTCTGCATTGCAGTTGCTATGGCAGTGCAAGAAAGACGTTCGTTAGATTGAAATTCCTAATACGACACACTGCGCATGCTGAGCATGAGGCAAGGCACAGATATATACAGGGTTCCATGTATGCCAGAGACAACAAACTTTCAGGATAAATGCCTAGAAAAAGGGTAGCAGTACCAGTGTCTGAACAGAAGACACATAACACCATGCTAAAATACTCCATCATGGGGAATTTAAGACAGATGTGAGTTGAATCAAGACAGCTATGGCATGTAGGGCAGGCAGGTGACACTCCCCCTGTTCCCCCTCCTCGTAGGGCGCCCAGTGTAGGTCACATGGGAGGCCTACCCCAGGGTGGGTTCTTCTTGGTTGCGCTAGACACCTTTGACAGGGTCACTCGCCTTGCACATGGGGTATCTTTACTGTACCATGCTCATCAATGCCCCGGGACAAGGCAGGGGGTCACTTTCAGGGATAACGCAACCTTACCCTAGGTTCACACCAAAGCATTTTTCACAGCATTTTGTGTTTTGCAGAAATGTACAGCAGTCCATTTAACATGATTTCCTGTGTGACAGGTTCACATCTCTGTATTTTCACCTGTTGTGTTTTTTGGAAAGTGTCAGGAACTTTTTTGAATGCAAAAAGTTGTGTTTTTGGTTCTATAGATCTCAATGGAAACGCTGCAGAAAAGCATTTAGTGCGATTGTGCAGCATTTTTTCTGTGTTTTTGATGCGTTTTAAATCTACCTAGCAACAAGAAAAAATAACAAAAAAGCATCACAAACACGTCACAAACGCAGGTGCAAAAACGCAAAACACAATGATGAAATGGGACAAACGCAAACTGCATAGGTGTGAACCTAGCCTTAAGATGGACCTCAAACTTTAGAGATGGTTCTACACTGTGTACACTTGAACAATAAACGTTTCTCCAGTTAACTCTCTTGTTCAATGTGTCAATGTACAATTAGTGTCAATGTACACCTTAGCTGTCACAGCTGCATTTAGAAAGGATATGCTGAGCCTACCTCTACTCCACCTGTCCAGCATATCTCCGCTACCTCACATCCTAGTAATGGAATGGAATCCCACCAAGCACCTAGCATGGACTCCATGTGTGCTCTGCATTAATTCTTCCTTTTCTATAGCTGTGCACAGGCCAAGAACCTCTGAGCGCTGGTCTGCTATTGATCCTATGGAAGACGGACTGTTGGGGGAGATAATGCTGACAACTCAAGAGGCTTTCCCACCTATCACAGGTACACACTTCATGACAGCATGCTTGCTGAACCTTTGTTACCCTTGGTAACCACTAGCTGTCTTCATACGCCAATGTGCTTCATTGACCCAAGATGTAGACTAAGTGCAGAATGTGTCACTTACTTGCATTACACCTCTTTCGTAACTTCAGGCCAGACAAGGACAAAGTTTTAAAGCTTTACTGAATGTTCCAAACATACGTTCCAACAAAGTGCAGTCTTTTCCAATCTCTAACTCTTGTGGCTGCCCCAGTGTATCTGTACAGGATGAGAGTCCATTCTTGGCAAAGTTCATGATAGCAGAATCCAGATGCTGGTGTCTTCTGGGCAGACTAAAAATCTAAGCAGTCCACCTACATTGGAGAAGGTTCCTGGAGCCAGACAATCATCAGCAGGAACTCCGGATTTGGCATGATGGACAAGAACTAACCAAGAGCTGAGAGTAGGACTAGATTCAAGACTTGAGAGGGACTCCTGTCCCTTTTTATATAATACAGGACCAGTGGGTCGGACCCAAAAAAGCCTGCCAAAGCTAGTACCTGGGAAATGGCAGCACAATGTTAACTCATCTCTCCCATCTGGGGCAGCAACTAAACTAAGTATTAGTAGGCAGCCTGCCTACAGGTGCATTTTGTATAAAGCTGATACAGGAGATCTTGTTGATTAAAACTAAATCAGCCTTGAGATGTATCACCTCTAATCACGTACTGGCCAGCAAATCATAAGAAATGGTGATGTGGCCTTTATAGGTTGAAACATTTCATATTCGGAAATTGTTGGTGGAGATTGAGAGAACAGAATGGCAAACTTTAACAAAGTTGGCTGAACTCACAGAGTGGAAGAAGGAGGGGATTATATTACAAGGCATTATGTTTGCAGCTCCTTTAGTACTATACTAATCCTTACATTATTTTGTTTTTTAAATTATGGTTTGTCTTCTTTTTTTTAATTCCACAAGCAGACTATCTAAAATACAGAAGCAGGGGGGCACTTCTGAGAATAGCCAGATAGATGCATAATAAAGTGAATTATGCACTCCTGATCTACCAAAGTATAGCTGCTTAAGGAATTAGGAGTTAAAACATTCATATGGTGGATCTTCAAATATTTGTCAATGTCTACTTCATACTGGGACCTCTGAGCTCCCTTGCATTAGTAAGGTGGTTATTAGAGATGAGCGAAGTATTCAAAAATTCGATTCGGCTGATTCGGCGAATTCGATGAATAAATTCGATTCGAGGCGAATATATTCGCTGCGAATTTAACTTATAAAAGGGTGTTTCTAGGCTTCAGAGAGCCTTTATATTAGTGCAGAACACTGTACCTTTAATTTAAATGCCCTTGGAGTCTGCTGGGGAAGAGAAATAATACTGTCAGTCAGTATGACATGCAGATGAGTGCCGTCGATCTTAGAATCACCGCACACTTCACTCATTTGGGCAGTCACGGGGCCAAAACCAGAGTGTGGAGCCACAGTGTGGCGGTGGAGGCAGCAGCAATGGGAGGCCATACAGCACCCTATGACAAAAATGGAACCCACCAGCAGTGTGAGGAGACCTGAAAGTGGCACATGGCAGAGTATGGCGATGGAGACAGCAGCAATGGGAGGCCGTACAGGGACCCATGACACACTCTGGACCTGGCAGCAGCATGAGGAGGCGGTACAGGGGCCCATGACAGATTACGGGCCTGGCAGCAGCATGAGGAGTCGGTACGGGGGCCCATGGCAGATTACGGGCCTGGCAGCAGCAATGGGAGGCCATACAGCACCCTATGACAAAATGGAACCCACCAGCAGTGTGAGGAGACCTGAAAGTGGCACATGGCAGAGTGTGGCGATGGAGACAGCAGCAATGGGAGGCCGTACAGGGACCCATCACACACTCTGGACCTGGCAGCAGCATGAGGAGGCGGTACGGGGGCCCATGGAAGATTACGGGCCTGGCAACAGCAATGGGAGGCCTGTAATCTGCCAGCACCCTATGACAAAATGGAACACACTAGCAGTGTGAGGAGACCTGAAAGTGGCACATGGCAGAGTGTGGAGATGGAGACAGCAGCAATGGGAGGCCGTACAGGGACCCATGAGACACTCTGGACCTGGCAGCAGCATGAGGAGGCGGTACAGGGGCCCATGGCAGATTACGGGCCTGGCAGCAGCAATGGGAGGCCCGTAATCTGCCAGCACCCTATGACAAAATGGAACCCACCAGCAGTGAGAGGAGACCTGAAAGTGGCACATGGCAGAGTGTGGCGATGGAGACAGCAGCAATGGGAGGCTGTACAGGGACCCATGAGACACTCTGGACCTGGCAGCAGCATGAGGAGGCGGTACGGGGACCCATGGCAGATTACGGGCCTGGCAGCAGCAATGGGAGGCCCGTAATCTGCCAGCACCCTATGACAAAATGGAACCCACCAGCAGTGTGAGGAGACCTGAAAGTGGCACATGGCGGAGTGTGGCGATGTAGACAGCAGCAA